TAATAATACTGCAGAACACAGATCTTATTAATTATATCTATGTAGACGCTGGCAAGTAACCCCAGCAGGCTCCTTGCATTGCATGCGGCATTTGCAAAGCAGGACAGGCAGGGCAGAAGAGGGGATGGAACAGAAACCCACCCTTTGCACTTGAGAGGTTTGGGATGTGGTGCTCCAGGTAGGAGGAGCCAAAGGGTGCGTTGGTTCCGCATTTGCAAAGCTTTGTGCTACGGGCACATTTGAAACAAGGATAAACCTGTTTATAATGCCATGGGAGACCTGCTCTGAGCAGTTTGCAGGGTTTTTACAGCATCCAGGTCCTGAAGGTTTTACATTTCTTGTACTTGTGCGTGCTTTGGTTCCCTGTCTCCATTTCATCTCCTCCTGTTTCTCTATTTCATACCCTCTGTGTTTTTTTAGACCCCCCCCGTTGCATTCACACACGCTTTAAGCTAACTGTTTTCGTTTTCCATCTCATTGCTTTGCTCCCTACCACATCCCACCTGATGAAGCTCATGAAGCAGGTATGTGCCATCACCTTCTGAATTGCTCCTCGCCATCTCCTTGGCAGTGGGGGGGATTCAAGGGTGGTGAGAGAGGAGCAGGATCTGGTTACTTTGCCTTATTGCTTCTGTTGTCTTTCCTTTTCACCTCTCCTCCATGACCAGCTCTGCTGCATGCTAAGACACAGGAACAGTCTCAAGCCTCTCCTGCCATCTGTGGAGCCCGCCATAAAGCCCATCCAGACAATGGCAGGAGGTTGTTCCTATAAAACTGGAATTAGAGGGAAATTTCAGCATGTGTTATTTGAGCTTATTGTTAGATTTTTTTCCCTCTCCAGTATGTTTTTCCCTGTTCCTTTTACATGGTGTAGTTGTTTCCCAACCACACGTGCCTCAGATTCCTTCCCCTCCTGGCCATTAGTGCATCCTTTACTGGGATAAAACTTTTCCCTCTGGCTTAACAGAGTTTTCAGCCTGTGTAATATCAGCTTGTGTAATAATGTGCTTCTCCTAATGTTCCTTTGCATCCTGTCCTGTGGCTCTTCCCACCTAAAGAAGCTCAGGAGGAAGGTATGTGACATGACTCCTGAATTCCTGTCTTTCAGAGTAAGCTCTGGTTTAGCCAGTAAGCCATAAGATGGTAGAAGGAAACAGGAGTTAAAAATAGGCATATTAATATAGAATAAAGCTTGCCACCATTTTGGTTTTTTGTACTCTCTTCCTTCATGTTCTGTCTTGACATTGAATGCACCAGCAATGCTCCATGGTAATTGTTGCATGAAAAAAAAAAAAAGTATGAAAACTGCTGGGAAATGTAAACCTCTTAAAAGGATGAAGATTGAAAAGCCTTCACTCTGAGACTCGTTGGGTCTCCCTGGGAGGCTTATTTTTGGGCTGTTCAGGGTGGGTTGGGCCTCTGGATGATGTGCAGATGTGCCTACGATCAGTCTGCTGTTACAGCAGCTGCCGACACTGCAGCTGGAAGAGGATTTGCCCTCCTTTACTGGGCTGACATTCTTACGATAAGCCTTTCCACATGCCCTTTTTTCAGCTTAAACCCTGTTGTATAAAGTAACTGGTGATAATTTTTGTGCTTTAGCTTTGCAAATGATTAAAGATGGCTTTCTTCTTCACACAATGGGGTTTCTAGGCCACTGTCTTATGGTAGTATGTGCAGCCACATGCCACCAAAAACCTGCTGGCCTCAGGTTGTAAATCCACTTAGGTGAGCATCAGGGTTGTGAAATGGCATGCTGCTCTGGGCTTTACGCAGAACTGCAGGAATGTGCATATAAGACAAATGTCATCTGATACGGCCACTTAAATCAGCTTTATGTTTTAATATATCAGAACATTTGTGCCCTCACTTCCAGTAGTGCTTTTTGTATCCATATTGATTTTATTTCCTTGCAATATACTCTCAGACTTTCCCTCCCCCTCCACTTTGTATGAGTGAAATCTTGTTCTGATGTTTCTAATGCTCTTGTTTTCCTTTGCATTTTGCTCTGTGACTCTTCCCACCCGCTAAAGCTCATGAGGAAGGTATGAGCCATGACCTGTGAATTCCTCTGTTTCTGTCCAAAGCGGTAACGTGTGCAAGGATTCTGGAGGTGGTTGAAGAGGAGAGGATACAAAACTATCCGCTGCACGCTTGCTGATGGCTGCTTTGCTTTTGTAGGATAAGCAGTGTGATAAGTAATAAGTACTAACTGCTGTTTTGAAAGCAGTGCCCGAAGCACAATGGGCATTGCTTGTATATTCCCCAGCACTCTGATTTAGAGTAACCAGGCTATCGGTACAGATACCAGTTGGTACAGGGATAGTGTTCCCAAAAGCATTTCCTCTACAGCATGCACCGGGGCTGGAGGTGGGACAACCATGCCCTGTGGCAATGATACACCCCTCAGTTGTGCACACCTCTTCCTCCTGTCCCCCTGCCACTGCGCAGAGACAAAAGTCGCTTCTGCAGCAATGTACGCTGATGTGGAGACTCTCATCGGAAGTCATGAGCAACAAGTGACACCGTATTATACCTAGTTTTCTGTCGGGCTAAGGATTGGACCGAGCGGCATCCTTTTGGTTGCAGTGTATTTGCAGAAAATGCCAATTCAGAGAAAAGATGTAGTTGCATGCTTTTTCCATAACTATTGGTGTTCTTCTGGGTTAAGGTGCATTATGCAAAAATGGGGGTAGCAGGGTTGCATTTTTTCTTCATTTTATAACATGAATTAAAGTCCTGATCTGGTAAGATAATATGTGTGATTAGCAAAATAGTAGGTCACGCTTATTAAAGCATCAGCCTGCCAGCCCAAACCCATTTACCTTTCAATTGCCCTTCTGCTCCTCCAGCCTCATGCATGTCCAGCTAGGCTTTTATGGGATACTTTATCCTGCAGGTCAGAGAGCCGTAACATGCTCGTGCTTACCTTCCCACATTGGTGTGCAGTCCTACACACCAGTTGTGAAATCCTGGGCACTAAGGAAATCAATGCCAGCTCCTCTGAGCCCATTGATTTCTGCAGAGGCTGGGATTTCTATGCACATGAATAAGAACAGGTTGTCTACACCCTTTTTGCACATTCAAACCTATGGGTAATGGAGTTGATTTAAATACAAGTAAATATTTTTGTCAACCAAAGGCTACCAATGGCACTTGATTTATACCTTTATGAATATATATGTTAGTCATCTGCATCTTTTATCTCCCAACACCTCCTGTCCTTCCTCTCCATGGTTTTCTAATTGACATCCATATGTGCCCTCTGTTTCTCTTTTAATCTTATTAATGGTTTTTATCCCTTTAACCCCTCCACCTTGGCTAAAAAAAGTGTAAGGTTTTTTTAATCATCCTCTGTTTCTTGCTCTAATTCTCTTATCTTTCTTTGCATCTCCTTCCCTGCTACTTCCCTCTTAAAGAAGTCCATCAACCAGGTATGTGACTTCTGAATTCCTCTGCGTCAATCGGAAGGGTTATTGTGTGCTGGAAATTCAATTGCGCTTGGCAATTTCACAATTGGGTCATGTTCATAATTGGGACAAAATGGAAACTTTTCAAACAGCAACAAGAAAAAGGAGGAACACCTTGTTTGGCAGCAATTGAAATTTTTTTATTTAGTTGAAACAAAATATTTTGTTCCAATATTTTTTCCCCTCTTTCCTCTATGGAAGATTTCCAAATTTTTAAATGAAAATTCTATTTTAGATGCTTCTGAAGCATTGACTTTATGGATAATGTGGGGTATACATAGTGTAATGCAAGAACAAATCTGGAATGAGAGATTGTCACAAGGCAAAAAATGAAAAGGTTTTGCTCTAGAGATGTTAATATCTAAGCAACCTTTTATGGTTGTGAAACTGTTTCTATTTTTTTTAACCAAAATCTTAGCTAAATCTACATGAGTTTTGAAATACTGAAATCTAATTGAAACTATGGTTTCTCTTGGAAAATTATACCAGTAACTCTAATGTTATACTCAGGAATTCAAAGATGGTGGAAGAAAACATAAAAATCAAATATTAATGATAAACTGTAACTTGCAGCTTCCTTACGCCTTCCACCAGTAATAATTTCCTCTGCTCTGTGATGCATAATAATGAAGATAAGAGCTAACTGTTGCATGAAAAATGTAATAACATTTTTGTAAACAAATATCTCAATGTATAAGCTGTAATAATAGCCACTGACTGGACTCGGAGCCGTCCTTACACTGCGTACGGGAATGTTATAATGTTTATTATCTGGAAAAGCAGAATCTGAACTTGCAGCATCCTCTAAACTGTCTGTGAAAATAATTTTGTGCCATTTGGAGTAGCTTTATTAAAGCAGTCACATGTCAGCAGCCACCCATCCCAGCTATTTCACTCTGCTGTCCACAGAGGGAGACCAGCCTCTTAGTTTAGATGAGAGCAGTACTTTTGCCAGGGTTGAAGTGAGTGAGCGATTGATTTTTGCATGACTTAACACTTCAACATTCATCTGTGTGCTGCTTCTCATTTCCCTCCTGTTCTCGCCTCCTCTCATTTCCTGTTCTTTTCCTTTTAACCATATTAATTCTTGTTTGTGACCTACTCCTAAGGTTTTCTGACCTTGGTTTGCACAAGTTGAAGGTCATTGCTACCATCCCAGCTGCTTTGCCTGCCTCTGTACCTCTTTCCCCTGGTATTTATTGAATTGCTACTCTCTTCTTGAGTGTTGGTCTCAAGCTCTGACATACAAATGAGCTTGAAATTTGTGCAGACCACCAGGTCTTAATGTAATCTGATTAACAATAAAGCCATATCTAGTCTCCACATATTTCCCTTCCCTCTGTAACATAAAGCATAACAAAAAGGAAAGTTTATAAAGAAGATGTCAACATAACAAACTTAAAAGAAAACTTTTATGTCAGAGCGAGACTCCTGGCTTTTCATATCATGGTATAATTATTTAGTTTCTCTGTTATTAATGCTGTCTTTGCCTAATACATCTTCTAAGTCACATCCTTGGCCTGCCCAAGTTCAGAGTTGTTGCTGTTGTGAGAGTCATGCTCTAATGCCTTTATTTTTCTTCGCTGACACTTTCCACCTAACCAAGCGCATGTATGTGACATCTAAATTCCTATGAAGCATTCCTGTACATAGGAATTTGAAGATGCTGAAGAAAACCAGAGTCATGAAGAATCAATCCATTCTTACGATTCCCTAACATTTATTTTCCCTCTAGGAAACAAGTATAATTATTATTTGTAACTGAAAAGCCACCTTCTAAGAAGCTTAGAAGAATTATTTTAGTGCTCCTGAAAACTTAGGGCTGTGACTATACCACAGACAGGACAGAGAGCAGGTACCTGAGCTGCAGCAACACAAGCTGCTTATGCTCGCAGGTATCGCCTGCAGCAGAATCCCGGTATGTAGGCTTGAGCAGTTTCTACTCCTTTGTAGCAGAGACAAGCCCTGTGTAGACCTGCATATTTCCAGTTCTGCAGAGCTAAGCCTCGCATTTGCCAGTGGAGGATCTTAGATGGTGGAGCTTCAGATGCAAATGCAGAGATACATTTAAAGCCTTATTTCCTTGCAGTAACTCTCGTACCCCCATACTTATTCCAACAGCGAAGAGGGCATGTGCATAGCTGAAACATAGGTTACACTGCACACTTGTAAAACTCTTCTTGGGCGTGTTTTCTTTCAAATTTAAGGATCACCAGTGTTACTACAATTGCCCACTGTTGCTATGTTTGCATGATTTAAATTGTCGCAATTCATCAACATTCAAATTCCTTTTATCTTTCATTTCTATGGCATACCCTCCCTGTCTACTTCATACCCCACCGCAATTACTCTCCTTTTCCACTCTTATTAACACTCTACCTCTATAACCTAGTCTGCAAACGATACTCCTTGAACCCAGTCTTACCAAAGTTTGAGGTGATCCCCTCCTAAATAACTTATTTCTAATTCTTTTATCTTCCTTTCCTATGTTTTTCCCCTGACACTTCCTACTAAATGAAGCCCCCCCTCCAGGTATGTGATTTAACTTCTAAACTCCCCAGTGTCTGTCTGCTGGGACAGTGTGCATGGGAAGCTAATACAAGGTGACAGGAGATAACAACCTATCTGTTAATGATAGCTTGTAACTTGCATGCCTTTGGGATTGTTGGTTTTTTAGGTTAATAATTTTTTTTTCTCATAAAATGAAATCAGCACTAAGTAGGAGGAAACTTACCTGTTGTGTAAAAATTTTACTAAAAACTAGGGAACAAATACACTATCATGAAAGAGTAGCTCAGCAAAGAGTGTCCCTGTGAAATGGGTTAAATTCTGCACTGTGATAGGAGAATGAATGTTTCTTCCTATAGTAAAAGCTTTGTTTCAAAAGCTCAGGGCAGAATTTCACCCATTGACTGTACACAGGAAATATAAATACTGTGAGATTTTGCGTTATTTTTATGCCTGCTTTACAAAATATTCAGTAGTGTGTATGGCTGAAAAGCAAAATCTGCGCCGCAAATCCGCATTGCTGATTGATCCTAGCTTTGCCAAAAAAACCAGAAGAATGAAATGTAGACCTGCACAGTTTTAATGAACCTTTTCTTCCTATGAAGTAATCTGTAATTCTACATTGCAAATGGATGTGAAGAACAGCAGTAGAATTATATAGACATCCAAGTTGTCTTCAAGGAAGAAAATGGTCTTAGGCATTGATCTAGAAAAGAGAAATGAGCTTCTTTGGAAGTTAGCCACATGTTGATGATGAGTTACAGCAGGTATTTCAGTAGGTTTCTGAACCACATTGTGTTTATTTCAAATGCCTGAAATACTGCTGTAGAAAAGGATGGATCTAATGGCGCTTTGAGAGTGCTGACTATGTTCATGTGCATATTTCAAATAAAGGTAAACCTTGGTACACTGTGCTGTCAGGTTGTGCTTTATGTCATATAATGCTCATAAGTGGGTTTTTTTGAGCACTGCACTACTATTGTAAATCTGCCTGTTTCACCTGACTGAATTCCTTTCCTGCCCTGTGACTTCTCTTTATATGCTATTTCAATGTAATTATTTTATCTCAGGTTTACTTCTTAACTTCGTCTCCCTCTCCCTTTTTCCTCTCTGCCTCTCCTCCCCTTTGGCTCAAAAGCTCTTTTGGTGTGTGAAATAACAGGTTTCTCGTTCTCATTCTCTTATTTTCCATTGCACCTTGTTCCATGACACTTCACACCTGAAGTTCATGAGCCAGGTATGTGGCACGACTTCTGATTTACTCCACCTAGCTACAACACAAGAGTGTGTGTGTGTGTGTCAGAACCAAGAACAGGAGTCTTGGGTTGGCAGAAGAGAACAAAACAAGAGAAACAAATATTAACCACAATGATCACTTGCAGCCCTTTTCTCCTTTAATCTCCACGCTTACTACTACTTTAACATTACAGCATCGTTAACTCCTGACAGCCTCTCCAGATACCTTTTTTCCTTGCCTTAATTCACTAATTCCTTTATTTTTTCACCCCTTCATGCATTCCCTGGTCTCTTTCTCAGGCTTCCAAGAGCTTTAAATATCTGTTCTGTTTTTTTTTTTTTCCTATTTCCTGTCTTTCCATCACTGCCCTTACCATGACACCAACAGAGGAAGCTCCTGAAGAAGGTATGTGATGCACCTACACGCTCTCACCCTTTTTCTCTTTCAGTGCTGGGGAAACAGTGTTAAAAACACTGACCTTGTTCAAGAGCAAAGAGAGCACAGGAGGGAAATGGTCTCTCTGGATGGCTTTGGATGAACATGGAGAAAAGGGCTGTGTGTTCGCCAAATCAAATCACCAAATGTTTTTTCTTCTTGTTCGATCTCTGGAGAGTCTGAAGTTCCCTGCATAGCAGGGAGAGAGTGGGAACAGTTGCTCTTAGGAGAACAGCGCTGGTTGTGGATTGACTACTGTGCTGCTTCTCTTTTGCTTTTATCCTTCAACCTACAGCTGATGAAGGCGGAAAATACTATGATGGTAGCTCAGTGTTGTCTTAGGGCAACAAAGTCATCTCTCTAACATCTTGCTCTTTTTTTTCTGTATTTGTTTTTGTTCCTCACTTGATTTTAAACTCAGGAACTAGGCCAAAACATCTCTGCCACAAAGATTTGCTTACTGTGCATATCCAATCACCCTTGTGGGGTCACTGTTGTATTGAGAAGCCTGTACATTCTCATTAGGATAGCAGATGGTGAAAACCAAGCTCTAGAAGCTTGCTCTGGACTTGTCTTTTAGCTAGAACCTATTGTGTCATACCTCTCATCAGCAAACCTTCTCTACCCGCCAAAATCAGGAAAGTATCTCTTAAATCCCAGTGGCATGCTTGAAAATGGAGCTGAGCCCTGCATAGACGTGCCTTCCTCACCCAACCTTTAGAAGGTCATGGTCTCCAGGCCTGAATCTACAGATATTTAAACTTCTGCTCCAGCCATCCACTTAAAATTGTGCTAAACATCAAGCTTGTGAATAAATTTATTCATACTGGTGGGGCAGGCCATGGGCTTAAGATAGTGTGTTCATAACACTTCATTGAGCGGGCGCTTGAGCACATGGGTGGGGACAAGACCCATGTAAAAGGACAAAATCTAAACGTATGCTGGGTCAGTTTTGCCCCTGTATGAGGGCAAGATAACTTAAGGCCCTGGGCCAAATTCAAAACCAATTTAAATGTACAGAAAGACTCGCATGTACTTTTACAGGCCTTTGAAGTAGCTTGGTTGTGTTCTGACTGCCTAGAACACCCTGGCCAGCTGTTTCCAAAGACAAAGCCCAATGCCACTTGAAACCACCCTGCATTTTCTGTGTTTACTTTGGTTTCGTAGGGGTTTTTTGTTTGTTTATTTTCATTTTCTTGCTCACTTTTCAGGGTTTTTTTCTTATTTAGGGAAATACCCTGAGGACCTTTCTGAGCCCTTTTCTCTCCTTTTTCTCTCTCTTTCCTTTTATTTTTAACAGCATATTGATTTTTTTTTCCCAAGGATGCACTGTGAGTTAGAGATGTTGCTTCTGAGAAGTGGGATTAAGGGAGGGTGTTTAGGGATTTCTGAATGAAGTAAAGGCATTTCATATGGATTCACAGAAAGGGGGAGCACTGTGTGAGTACCTCATAGATTGGGCAGGAGAAAGTGAGGTTGTATTTATGGTGGTGTGTACCCTCCCTGCACTAACCTAACCCTTTTGGAAACCAGAAACTCAGAGACTCTCTAATCACCAGGGCAGAGAACTTGGATTTCCAGTGGCTCTTGCCTTCTTTTGGCAGGGTTATATGTGGGGATTTTGTCATAGCCCCATGGTTCATGGGCAGAAAGACCAGAATGTCAGTCAAAATCTGCCACAGGAACAGGAATTTGCTATCACAATTCCTGCTTGTCAACAAATTGTGGCCCAGTTCCTTGACTTGGTGTCTTGAAATAAGGGGCATTTCAAAATAAATCACATCCCTGGGCTGTTTTTGGTGCATACAGTATGGACTATGCTGGGTCATGCACTGCAAAAGACAGATTTATTACTGTTTGTTTTTTAATAAAGGCTGTTATTTCTTTGTTATCCCCTTTTCTGGTTTTCTGGAGGTACCTTTAAATATTCTAACTATAATTTCTTATTTCAAGAACAGCTAACCTTAATTTTTCTTTTCATTTTTACAATTGTTCCTCAGTTTAATTAAGTTTAAAGTGCTGATTTGGTGGCAGCTGGAACCAAATTCACACAGCCATTGACAGACAGGTCTTGATCCTGGCAACGAAGGTCAACAAACAAACGAGTCATTTCCTGCCTACTCCTGCCCCCCGCTTCTCCCCCTGAAACGTTACTAACTGGTAGCTTTAAGCTAAACAGGAATGTTTCCGAAAATTATCTGGGTATGTCACGAGGGAAGGGAATCCTGTGTGAATAACGTCCCTGATAGACTGGTTAATCATGATTACTTTTCCTCTCTCCAGATAAAAAAAAATATTTAACTAATGTGTCAAGAAGCTCACCGGCTATTTGAAAAGCAAAACAACTAAAAAAAATAACTGGAGAAATACAGATGTACACTGTTGGCTAATGGTATTTTTCTTCAGGAGCAATTTGTGTCTTCCTTTATGCAAGTGCTCTAAAACACATTTGTGATTACATGCTGTTTATTTTATTAGCATTGCTCTAGCATCTCGAGGCCTCACATGAGACATGTTTGGTAGGCAGTGTTCTTGCAGTAAATGAGAAAAGTCTACCCCCCAAAATTTCACTACTGAAATTTGTAGGGGAAAGTGTGAGAGAAAGGAAAAGTTAGTCTCTGATCTCTCAACATCTTTTCTCTTAATTATCTCAATAACCCATTTCCAGCTGCTTCCTCAATTTTTTTATTATCCAACGTCCTTGCAACTGATGTGTCCACTAAATATTTTCCAGTATCAGTTTTTGCTATTTTTTTTCCTCTTACAATGTTTCATTTTATTTTATCCTACTCTGTTCCATTTGCTATTCCCAGTTTCCTCCATCAGTCCCAAAACAGCTGGATGCAAACAAGCATTTGAAAAAATATAATATAATAGCTTTCTGTATCATGACATGGACAGCAGGGCTTGTACACCCACTCCTGAGGGAGGCTGGTTTTACTTTTACTTTACAAAGGTGGTTGTTTTTACCAGATTCAATAGGCTGTGAGCTTTCTACCTCAGTTCCTCCCACTGAACCAACACAAGGGAGAGTCTTGTACTGCAGTATCCAGCAGCATCCCTGAAAGTTCAAACGTAGCATGTGGTTATGAAAATCAGCCTGGGTCCCTGTGAGACTGGGCCAGAAAAAACACATAGGTTTAATTTACTTCTGTTTGTGCGAATAACAGTGCTGAACTTACTGGCATTACAGAGGAGTTAATAACTAAAGTTTAAAAAGCATAGCAGGGAGGGGAATTGATCACAAGCACAAATGTTAAACAAGTAACTCATAAGACAGCACGTTTCTGAGAGCCAGGGAAAGGTCACTTGTTGTAGGGGAACATTTCTGACTGCCAGAGGGCCCAAACTGACAGTCTCTGTGATGGTTTGGCCTGCCTATCAGGGCATTATACCCCTCCTGGAGATGCAAAGATCATTCCCATTAACACCCGTGGGAATTTTGCATGTACCTCAGCAGGAGAGGATGCTTGCTAATAGAGGATGGTCTCTCCAAGCTTGGCCTGAGGAGCACCACCCAGTGCAGAAGAATAAGCATCTCCCCCATGGCGCCAAGGTATCTCAGGGACATGTGCTCTAAGCTATCTTGGGAGTCAATGAACCTGGAGAAAATGCGTCATGAAGCTTCCTCCCTCCTGGCCTCTATGTGAGGCATTCGAGCAAAACTGGAGAAGCCTAGTTATCATTGACATGACTGTGAATTCAGGGTAACTTTAGTGAAAGAAGTGCTGACTGAAAAAAGCAGTATTTTCTTCTACACTCCAGCCCAGCTGTCCTCCTTACAGCTTTGGTGAGCATGGTTTGAGAACAATAATTTAGCCTTTACATGAAACCACTGCCTTCCAGATGCTATGTTTGGGACTTTTATACAGTCTCCTGATTCTTTTCTGCCAAATTCTGTTTCAAGGGTAAAACCAGATTCACTCCTAGCAAAAGGGCTGTGTATGTGTATTTCTTTTGGAAGTGCTTGAGATTTAACCAGTTTCTCTGAGATGTTTCCCCTAAGATTAAATTTCCCTTCCCTCCTTTTACTTTAGCAGCTGGCATGATCTCTGTTTTTTTAACTGTTCTCCCTCTTTCTCCCTTCCTGTTTTGCTCCATGTTTCCAAATACAGAGGAGAAGCCCAGAATAAAGTAAGTATGAGAGGCAGGAAGTTCCAAAACCCTGGGATCATTTTTCTGATCTAGAAGAAGCCCTTAGATTGTCTATTAGGCAAATGGCCACTAGAAGCCTTTATCCAATCCTCCCTTGTGCAACATCCAGCTGTTCCTGCATGCTTTTCCAGGATGTCTGCTTCTGCCAGAGGATGCCTTAGCAGTAGTTACTGGCCAGGGTCTTAAGACCAGTTCCTGATAGAGTCAGAGGACTTGTGAACTGTCCAAGACACAGTCATTTCACAGTACCCCAAGATACAGGCGGCTCAACACTAAATTCTTTGTGAGAGGCCATGGCTGGGAAACTACCTTCCATCCAGGATCACTGACAGTAGGAAGGATGGCAAACATTGGGCTGGGATGACTGGAGCTTAACTAAGGCTTCCTATGGACCTTCTGGGTCTGGGCCCCAGCACCTTCCCTTCCCACTCCACCAGCTGCCCAGAAAGGAGCGTGCAGCACTGCGCTGACAGCCTCGTGGGCCAACATCTTTCTGTGTGGTAGGGAATGACCAAAGGCTTTGGGAATGAAAAGGGGTTTTAGGGGTAACTCCCTGCTCTGCATGACCTTCCATGAAGGACAATGGTCCTTAGTGCTGTTCTGGAGTAGTTTTCCATTGACTTGCTCTTTCACCCCTCTGTATCTCCATCAACACTTTTCCTTGTCAGCATCATTCCTGAGGGCAGGTCAGGTCAGGACATGCTATTTAAAAAGCTGCCTGCTCTTTAAGATTAATTTTTTTTTTTCTTTTTTCTTTTCTTTTTTTTTGACTTTCTGCAGACTAACTGCTCCTAAAATACCGGAGGGTGAGAAAGTAGATTTTGATGTAAGTATTCCTGGGACTGACTGTGTGTGTTTGTCTGTCCCTGAGCCATACACATGTGTGCAAACCCACATAACTCCTCCTGTACTGGATACTGCTGATAAAGTCAAGGACAAAGGTGTGGAAGGACAAAAGTGTGGATGCTTTGCCACCTCTTTTCAGTGAAAGGCTACTCTCTGCTCCCTGAAACTCTCTGGATACATTTGTTGCTAATGTGACTAAGCTAAAATGTTAATTGATGGTTTTGTTTTTTTTTTTCTCCTTGAATCTTTGAAGCCAATATATGAAGAAAGGAGAAAGTACGTGTTTTAGGAGCTCTCAGATCCCCTGTCCCATTGTTGTAAATGGTTTGAAAGTTGCAGGCTGAAACAGAGCAGGCCTATACTCATCTGTTGCTGAGAAACACTACCTAAAATGACATCAGAATTTTAATAAAAACAGAGATCCAAATAGCTTCCTAGAAAGTTGATAGAAAATGAAGAAATGCTGGTGTGGAAAATCTCCACAGAAATATCTGCTTTGTCCAAAAATGCAGGAACATTTTCTAGGTAAGATTCATATCCCAAAGTGAAGGGGAGGCAGCTAAGTACATGCAAAGAGGAGGCAGCTAAGCAAAGCCAGGGACAAAATATGGTGTAGGGGAATGGGACATGTGGATTCTGTTCTCTTCTGGGCTCCTGACTGTCACCCAGATGAGTCTCTGCTGGTGTCTGTCCTGCATCAACAGCCATTCAAGCTAATCCCATAGATTTCCATGGATATCTGCAGACACTTTTTGCTTTTGTTTCTCTGTGTAGACAGGGTGCTGGCAATGTCCAGGGCATGTTACTAGAGCAATATGGGCTGGATTAATGCATTTTCCTGCTCTTCTAGGACATCCAAAAGAAAAGGCAGAACAAAGACCTGATTGAACTGCAGGCCTTGATTGACAGCCACTTTGAAGCCAGGAGAAAGGAAGAGGAAGAGCTGGTTGCCCTCAAGGAGAGGATTGTGAGTCCTTGTATTAACATTTCCCTGTACTAGATTGACAGGTTCTGTGTAGATGAGAAGTTGGATCCATTAGTCCACTGTCAGAGTTTGGCAGAAAGCTGTATCGCCATGTACAGAAGTGACTGCCCAAGTCAGCACCAAATGGCTTCTTCCCACATCTGTCCCCTCTCTCAGCCTCTTGTTTTACATCTGGGAATTGCACATAAGATCCTTCTGTATGTTCTGGGAAGGGAGTAGGTGGCTCACTCTCTATGAACCAAAGCTCTTGGTGGTAGGGCATAATACTGGAGGTAGATAAAGCCACAGTGATGACTCAATGCCTCTGCCACTACTTCTTGCAGGAGAAGCGCAGAGCTGAAAGAGCAGAGCAACAGAGAATCCGGGCTGAGAAGGAGAAGGAGCGTCAGGCAAGGCTTGCAGTAAGTGTGTTTGCATCTCTCCTTGTCTCGGCATCAAATTGGAGAACTCTGGAGATAGAAAAAACCTACAGGTTCTGCCTGTCTCAGTCTGGAGAAGAAATGACCACCCTTTTAAAGCAGAGGCAGGAAACAGGAGTTGCCAATTCTCATCAACATGCTTATCTGATCATGTTCCCTCCAGTGACACTGGCAGCTGAGGAAGCTGTGAGTTTCCCCTAGAGTAACTTGCTTCTGTGTGTCACACTCCACAGGAGGAGAAGGCACGGAGAGAGGAAGAAGATGCCAAGAGAAAAGCTGAAGATGATCTCAAGAAGAAAAAGGCTCTGTCCTCTATGGGTGCCACATACAGCAGCTATCTGGCCAAGGTAAAAAGCATGGATCGGTGGAAGAAATATGGAAGTGTTAAACCACGGGGTTGACTGGGAACAGTCTTTATTACAAGTTGAGAAAACACCTCACCTTTCCTTCTTCCGGATCCCTAGCAGCTTGTCTTACATGCTCTGTCACTGAAATAATTTCAGTCAGCCTGAATGTCTGCAGTCTGACGTTAATTGATGTTCTGAAAATAGGCTGATCAGAAGAGAGGGAAGAAGCAAACAGCTAGAGAGACAAAGAAGAAGGTCCTGGCAGAGAGGCGCAAGCCCTTGAACATTGACCACCTTAATGAAGACAAGCTGAGGTAACATGCTTATCCTAACTTACTGAATGTAATCCACTGAAATTTGGTCTTACTGTCCTGGAGCCTTCTCCAGTGAAAAAATGAGGTAGAGGAGAGGTCCTTCCTTGAAATTCATCATGGGGCAATGTTAAGTTGTGCCTTTCCTTGATCTGGAGAATGGAGGGGAAATGGGGAAGTGGGGAATTGTTGAAATGGTTTGATAGCCATCTAGCCATGCTCCTGGCATAGGTCTGCTAGCCTGTCCTGCTAATTAGGTTTAGTCATTTACGGGACTAGGTACAAACTTTAAACCCCACTCTGAGATAAGTTGAACAAACCTACAGATTGGTATCTGTAGCATTCCCAGGGGTGAGTTGTGCTGCTAAGGTATAAGTACAGGTCTCCATGGAGGCTGGAGGCTTGCGAGCTCAGTGCTCTGGTGCCAGATGATAGTCTGGACTCCACAAGTTGGAGTTTACACGATTGCACAATGGCAGCTGCTCTGCTCATCAGAGTCCTCCTTCCTTCGCGTCTGGTTCCTCTGGACTGTTTTCTTTCATTAAGACTTAGGGGGAAAATGAAATCTGTAGGCAATACGTTAGTGTGTGACACATGCAAGAGTGCAAGTCTAAAAGGTTCTCAGATAAGAAGGTGAGAAAAATGTGACCTTGAAAATGGTGAGTAGCTTTCAGAGGATGGACAGAGTTTGCAGGAGGATGTGTGAACTGCATTAAATAAAACGTAAAAAGTCTCATTACTAGTGATGTGAAAATGGTAGAAAATACATGATGTGATGTCTTTCTCCCACGTTCCTTTCCCCATAAACACACAGGGACAAGGCTAAGGAACTGTGGGACTGGTTATACCATCTGGAGACTGAAAAGTATGACTTTACAGAGCAGATCAAGAGGAAAAAATACGAGGTGAGTTGAGAAGCCATTTTGCTAATGGCATTGGGTCCAAGATGTAAAAATCTCTGTGACTCCTCTGGCAAGAGCCATGTAGTGACAACGTTTGGGTCTCCAATACCCTTTTGCAATGTTTGAGCAGCAATACACTTGGAACTGCATTCCCCTAACGTACATACTTGGACTGGATTTCACATTTTAGGCTGAAATTGAATAGACCACTCTCAAGGTTTTTAGTGCCCCATGGAAAGGCAATCCCAACAGAAAATGGACTCTCCACCCTCTGCCCAAACACATCTTGTTCATTCTATAGTTACCTATCTATAGGTAACTGTGGCCTGAAAAAATCAATAACTCAATTCATTAATCTTCATTGCAAAGTAATATTTTTAAACCCATCTTTGATTTCACACTTGAACGTTTTAAGTTTTATTCCCATCCCAGACAGATTCCCCATACACTGTGCTCTCTGGAGTCACTGAAAACTGTCTCCAGACATGAGCATCTGACTGAAGTGTCACAGAAAGTGGGCATGTTTCCTTCACAGTCACAGGACAGGTCTGCACTCGCCTATGTCAGGTTTCAGTGGCTGAGAAATCCTACTGGATCTCTCTCCATCTCGCTCTCCTTTTCATTCCCAATCACACAGACGCATGCTGACAGGGAATGAGCAACACCAATGTAACTATCTCAATCTCTCTTAGATTTTAACAATGCGTTGCAGGCTGCAGGAGCTTTCCAAGTTGTAAGTACAATGAACTTGCCTGTGTAACAGCAGCAGCAAAGGCTACCAAATGCATGAGCCTGCCGCATGGTCAGAGGCCAGGTGCCAGACAGAAACTGGCACTTGGCTCCAAGTGCAGAGAGAAAAGAGAAAACTGGATCTTGTGTCTCTCTCCTCACTTCCTTTTTCTCTCCCCTTCCATTCTTTGAAAAGAGATGAAGCAGTAATTTAGGAAGGGAGTTGGGGTCAACAACAGGGATGTGGTTAAAGAACAGAGCATGCAACCCACTCAGACCATCTCTAAAATAACTCCCTATCCAAACCTCTGGTATTACAACTGGGTGTGGAGCAACAGGAATTAAGGCAGTGCCAGGGGAGACATAGATGCTATGGTAATGAAACCTCTGCATAAATGAAGAGATGGATGGCTGCTGATGAAAAGCAAGGAGAGAAAGTACAAGAAGTGAGCAAAATAGAAGGAAAATGCACAGCTGAGATGGGAGAAGAAAAATGGAAGAAAAAAGGGAAGGTGATAGCAGGGAAAAAAGTGAGGGGAAAGGTAAGTGAAAACAGCAAAGGGAATGAAGGAGACACAAGCAAGGATGCAAGGGAGAGACAAAGGAAGGAACTGGGACACACCGGAGAGGGGCTTTCTTTAGCTCTACAGTCTGTTGCTCTTTGGTGCTTCATTGGAGAGTGAGTGTTACAGTCACTATCACAAGGTTATCAGTGAAGGTAAGTCTTAAGTCCTTGGGTCAAACTGAGCTGGTTCTCCTCCACACTGGGGAAAAATACTCAGTTGCAAAAAATAATTTAAACCAGTGCTGCAGATATTAAAACTTCCATGAGTAAGTACAAAAGCAGCTGATCTGCTAATCTTTCCTTCCTTGTGTTGTCCTGTTCCTGCTAATGTTTCAGTCTCTTATTTTGTTTCTGTCTGCCATGGAAAGACACAAGCCAGCAAATAGTGGTTGTTCGGCCAACCTGAATGTATGATTTTTTTTTCTTGTTTCGCATGCGGGGAATGTCAGGTGCCACTTTAAATGTTCAAATGTTGGGTCATCAGTTCTTGGACCTGCAGAGCCATTGGAGAACTTTGAATTACACCAAAAGCAGAAGCAAAGCATACCTATTGGCAAGTGCATTTTTCCACCCCAGGAAACTGGGTAGAACTTTGACTCAGTTACAAATGAGAAGCTGAAGGGACAAAAGAGGGCTCTCTATCACACCTGAAGGCTTTTCCAGTACCTGTGCTGGAAGAGTCCCAGGATTTCAGTAGTGACTCCAGGGCCATGGGCCAGGACTGAGGTGCTAAGTGAGGCCATAAGTTGCTCACCCTGTGCAAGGTAGGTGTTTGCTTTCCCATGCATCAGGTTGAAATACACCATTTACCTATGGCTAAACAAAGAGATGCTCCGTCTTGTAGGACAAACTGTCTAGTGGCTTGCAGTCATCAACAGAGCTTGGGAAGATGTTCAGAGCCCCAAATCTAACCTTTTCCTCTGTGGTCGCTCAAGCTCTCCTTGAATATTTTCTTCTTCAGCTCCTTTAAAAGTTGTCTTTTATTAGATGAGTGGCTGGGGAGGAGGTGACTGCTGCAAGCTCCTCACCTCCTGCTCTCCCAACCAACAAAGGTACTCCAGCAGAATGTGTGATCCATCTTCCACTCTTGAGGTCCCATCCAAAGTCCACTAAAGCTCTTTGAGCTTATACACTTCTGAATGTTTAGGAGTAGGGGAAGAGTGAGAAGGTGAGGTTGACACATACAGGTGGATGGGGCCATGCAAGAGCTTTCCAACTGGCTAGGATGACATTCATTCCAGTTCACTTGCCTGCAGTTGGACATGTGAGTGCATAGGCAATTAATTTGTATACACAGGAACTCTTCTAATAAGGGTTATAAAATTCCAGCTCTTCTTTCCCTTAACATATGAAATTGGCTTGCAGATTTATTCCCAAGGAGCAAGATTTCTCTCCTTCAAGCAAGGGTGAGCTTTTATTTCAAAGGAAGTATTAATCGCTACCATAGGCACATGCTTCCAGCATTTCAGCAGGTAAAAATCCCCTCTCTGTGAGGGAACAAGGTTTCTTTATCTCTAAAAACCCTCGTCATGTATGTTGTTTGCAGATTGTCACCCTCAGGAACCGCATCGATCAGGCTCAGAAGCAGTAAGTACCCACATCACCTTCCTAGCTCCTGGCTTGGGGATATCTTCTCAGTGTTCAAAGTAGTCGCTTCAGCCTCAACACTGACATTTTCTTGTTGCAATGAAATGAGGCTAGAGATGGCAGGGCAACTCCCATCCTGCCTCACATTGAGAAAATGAAGGGGAAACTGAAATGAATGTAACAGCTAACAAGAAAAAAATCACATTTCTTCACACCATGTCTGCAAAATTTCCATCTGCTTATTGCTGGGGTTTTCAAACACCTGACTGAGGTGCTTTGAATACTTGAGGCAATACAACCCTTGTTTACAAAGGGTAAACAAATGGTTGCTAAGATTACAAAGAATGGTGTGTAACAAGACTAACATCATGGGATTATTGCTGTGAGTTCTTTTCACTCATGATCTCCCACCTTCCTTCCGCACAAGACTTCTATTTCATTAGATTTTTTGAGTCATATCTTTAACTATTCTAGGTGTTTACAGTGAACTTATGAGAGACCATGGCTAGACAAAGCCTGGGGACTAGGGCATGTAGAAAAGTAACAGACAGAGAGAAGCAACTGCAGGGAAGCAAGGGACGAGCACTCTGCAGTGGTAGTATTTGATCTTCACTGTGCTTCTATATCTTCTTGGCAAAGTCATGCCAGGAATGAAGTGGTGGTCTTCGGTGACATCTTTGGATGACAGCAGTGACCAGACACTGCCTTCCCACTTCCTCAAGCCACCCTGCCTTATCAGATGAATGTAACACTGGGGGCTCAGTTGTCTGTAGATGCCAAACATAAGGCTTGACCTTCCCATGGTATTTTCTGTAGAGCTGTAGGCTGATAAACCTCAGAAGAATGTGCAGCTGCAGAAGGATGCCATGGTTTGTCTGGGTGTTGCTGCTCTTCTGAGGGGCACTACTATACCACCCACAATAGGCAGTACCATTACTGCATGCTTGTTCCCCCAAAAGACATGATATTCTCTCAGAACATCATTTGAAAAGGTTGCACTGAGAAGCCCACAGCTCGTGAGACTTCTGTGTACTTAAATTTCTATCCACACTAGACTATCATTCCAAAGCAATGTCTGCTAATGTGTTATACAAGGATCAAGTGATCTTTTTGCTTCAGACTTTATTAAGTCTCCTTAAGCACACTCTAAAGGTTAGACATAACATCAAACATCACAGGCGCTTATGGAGATAAAAGGACTCTGCGCTTGAGGAGCTACACAGTTACTATTCTGGGTTTTGAACCTGCGGAAAGACTGGCAAAAGGGACACTGAGATGAATTTAAGATAAGCAGAAAATGCTCTGCTCTCTCTCATATAAAAGGTCAATTTTTTGAATAGACCAAGTCTAACTTGGTCAAAAGGTAAAGTATCCACTATGTGTACGTCTGTGTCACTGTGCTACACCCTTCCAGAAATACGGCTAGTGCTCTTGAACCAATCCATGGGGCAGCACCACAAAAATCTCCCAAGATGTGTCGTCCACATTTTTTTCTGCTCCCTGGAGGAACCAGTGGTTCTGAAGAAGGCCTCTCTGTTGATAGCAAGGCCCCACCACCCTGTGCTTGGCCCCAACCCCATGCTCTGCCATGTCAAAGAGCTGCCCCCAGTTTGCATGTGCTTTGGTTCAAGAAGCAGCCTCATCATCGTGTGTGTGAGATGGAAAGGTTTGGTGGTGTGCTGAGCCCCAAAAACCCAAGGTGCTGCCTACGGGAGCCGGTGCAGAATCTAACCTGACTAACTTCATGCCTGGCCCCTCTCTGACTCCAGGCATGCCTGATTCTCAGTCAGAAGGTAAGTGGCTTGCATGTAGGATTGCTCTTCTGTGTGCAAGAAGATACTATTTAGAGAGAGTTTGCCTCAGGTGCTTTGCGTGGGGAGTGTAGCTGGACTGCTCCCACACGCACCACGAGCAAGATGGGGATACTGATATGAGGGGAGGCCTAAAAAGGTGTTTGGACTGTTTTGGAGGTTCTTGCTCTCGTGATATAAGGCAGAAGCCACTCTGCCTTTGCTAGAGCAAAGCAATTCTTAGTTGTATTTAAATTATTGCTCAGCTTTTTGCCTCTGCTACTAGATGACTAGAGCATCTGGGGAATTTGACCAGAGCTCCCTCATAATGAGGAAATTTTCTCCAGAAACACCTCTAAATCTTAAATTCCAGATCATAGCAGACTTGACTTCAGGAAACATCAAGTCTGTGGTTGGATAGGCCTGGCATTTAGTTTTGAGACCACCTGGGCTTCTGTCCTGATAATGCAGGAATCTGTAAGGGCCCGCATTTTTCAGGCATGCACATCCTGGCCTTTCACTAAGAGCCTAAGGAGGAATCTCTTTCCACAATATCAACAATATTTTTCTCAGGATGTGCTTTATGGCAGGTGTGCCCAACATGTGAGAAGCGAAAGCAGCTCGATACTAATCTGAGAGTCAGGAATGCGCAGTGGTCACAGAGCCCCACTGCTTCCATCATGCTGACGTGGTTTTCTTTCCTTTTGTATTGTAGCAGCAAGAAGGCAGGAGCCAAGGGCAAGGTTGGAGGACGCTGGAAGTAAAGAACCAGGCAGGATGGCCCTTAGTGGCATGCCGAAACCCTGCTGGTCTCCTCTTGCTTCCTTCACAAATCACTTGTCTTCCCACGCCTCAATGATAACAAAAATTGCAACATCAGCCTGGGTTATCTATTGCTGCTTCTTTTCTTGTTTTTTTTTTTTTTCCTGGAGGGGTCTGGTGGCTTCCTCAGTCAAAAGGAAGCAGGTTCCCTGTGAAACTGAGATGACTCCTTGCTGGCATCTTCAATTCCTGCTTAGCATGTCCTGACACCAGCCCTATGCTGTCCTGTAGATTGCTGTGTACAAATCTCTGGATTTTGTAAATAAAGCGCAACCAGTACCTGCTCCAATGACAGCTCTATGGAATGGTGTTTCATGTTTTATTTAATGGCATCCCATTTTGCAAGGATTTGGGAGTTGGTCCAAATCCTTATTTAGTGTCATTAGATCCAGCTCTGCACCTGGGAATGAGGCTCAGTATCATCAACAAAGACTCAGGACCAGAGGCCTGCTTTACAGCCACCATACAGGCAGATAACAAAAGCCGACTATGTTCTGGGGGAGCTCATAATCTGGATGCCAAATGTAGTTGAAATTGACTTAAAAGCTTGACTGATGAAGGGAATCAAAGAATTGGGAATAAAGGAACAAATCCATCGAAGTTAGTTTTCAGCACACAGCACTTCTTAAATACAGACAAGCCACAGTATAATATAGAGAATGATTCATTCAAATATTACATTAAAATATTTATGGAGGCAGTTAACCTACATATAATATTAAAGTCCAATACTGAGGTGTGAATTACTTTGTTAATTCAGTGTAGATATCAAAACACAAATGGCTGATACTAAATTTGGGATGTGAGCTATTCTGTAGGGCTTGTTGTCTTTGCCAACCCTTGAAATGCCCTGTTGGAGGGAAGCCCAGCAGGGATGGTGGTTCTCTCCCATCTTTCCAAACTTCTGGCTGTTTCTGGTGCCTGCATTCACACTCCAGCCCTCTGTTAGCGTATCCTGCAGCGTCATAGATTCTTAAGAGTGGTTTAGGTGGGAAGGGACCTCCAAAGATCATCAAGTCCAAACCCCCTGGCGTGGGCAGGAACATCTTTCACTAGATCAGGTTGCTCAAAGCCCCGTCCAACCAGACCTTGAACACTTCCAGTGTGATGAGGCATCATCATCATCACAGCTTCTCTGGGCACTCTGATCCCGCATCCCACCACCCTCATTGTAAAAAGTTTCTGCCCTATGTCCAATCTAAATTTACCCTCTTTCAGTTTAAAACTGTTGCCCCTTGTCCTGTCATGACAGGCCTTGTAAAAAGTCTCTCTCCATCTTTCTTATAAGCTCCCTTTATATATTGAAAGGCTGCAGTAAGGTCTCCCTGGAGTCTTCTCTTCTCCAGGCTGAACAACCCCAGCTCTCTCTGCCTTTCCTCACAGGGCAGGTATCCCAGCCCTCCCACCACTTCCATGGCCCTCCTCTGGACCCTTTTAACAGGCCCATGCCTGTCTTGTGCTGGGGACCCCAGAGCTGGATGCAGGACCCCTGCTGGGGTCTCACCAGAGGGGAGCAAAGGAGGAGAATCACCTCCCTCCTGTAACCATGAGGAAAACACCGCATGAAATGCAGCCAAGGCTGCAAATTCCCACCAAGGCGCCATTTTGCAGGTGCTTCCCCCCCCGCCCTTTGGCCTTGCGGCTCCTCTGGAGAACTCT